GAATCAAACTGGGGTCTCCTGTGTTGCAGGCAGATTCTTTACCAACTGAGCTATGAGGGAAGCCCAGGGATCAGAAAATACATTTATATTGTTTCATTCAGTAAAAGTACAAGGTGAATGCTCAGCACATTTGATCCTGGGGCTGCAGAGTTAAGACAAGTTCTAGTTGAGAGGACTGAATTAAAAGTTACATGAGAAAGTTAAGGTTTGTTTGCTGTGATAACATGCCTGGTCGAGAAGACTAGGAAGTTCCCAGCCTTAAAGGCCTGCTGGGGAGTGACAGGAGAGGAGGCTGCAAGAGTTTGCACTTGATTCTGTTTAAGGATTTTAAACAGAAAAATGTCACTGTTAGCTTTTTCATTAACATCATAATTAGATTTTATTAACAGCATGCAACTCATTACCTAAGTTAATCTACCTGTTACTAGGTAATCTACCTTGTCTTAGCTCTAACAAGTAGGTTATGATTGGGATACACTGAAACGTGGGGAAAAAATATTTTGATGAAAATGAACCAGACAACCTGACTCTCTGGTGTATATCTGTGTGTGAGTATACATATAAATGTGGGTAAATTTTAGGATAAACAAGATGGTTCCAGTTGCCCTTTAAATTAATAATAATTGTTTTTACAAATCACTGTATTTAAACTTCCCATAGAAACTGCTGTTAACTAACTTACTAGCACTGTAACTTTGGGTAACTTTGATCTTCTGTACTTTTAGGGATGGCATGAAAAGAGATAATAGGGTAAAATAGCTTTGAACTATCAAGACAAATTATGAAATAAATTCAAAGCATTGGTATTGTAAGGTTTGTAAAAAGCTGAGAGCATTTATTTCTGAGGTACTTAGTTGATGGCAGTTACCAAAAAGATTCCTTTATTTTGCAAAACTCTGTAGTGTTTGATACTGTTTGTCTCTTAACCCTTCAGGAAACTGTTCCCATCCCAACATCATTATTGGTCTCAATTCTTTCTGGCTGCAATTGTAAGAGTTTCTTCAAAGGTTCTTAGGGTTCCTTGTCCCCTGTCCCCTGACTGTTCTTCCTTCTGTGCTCTTCCACCTATTCCTGTAGTTTTAATTAGCATGTATAATAATCTCATAATCTTGGTTCATATCTTTCCTCCAGCTTCAGACTTCAATGTGAGACACGCACTTCTGTCAACATGTGCAAAACTGAACCCATTAATCCTCCTCCGTTACTTAATCCCTTTCCATCTCTCCGGTCTCATTTTGTAGACTCCTTGTCTTGAATTTTATGCTGTAGTAATAGGTTGAGCTATAGCTTGAGCACTTACTGTGTGCCACAGGCATTGTGCACTTTGCTTGCATGTCTAACGTAATTTCACCATATCCTATGGGATATTTTTATTATCCCATTTTACTGATAAAATTCTGGGAAGTTAAATAATGTGTCCAGGTCATATAGCTTGGAAATGACAGTTCTGGGGGTTGAACAGAGGTTGCTCTAACACCAAATTGGTGACTATATATCAGAATACCCATTATCACTATTTCTGATACTTAATACTAGCAGAAACATACTGTACTTCCTACAACAGAGTCCTTTCCTTATCAGCGTTTCTGGTTTGGTATATAATTCAAGACTCAATGATAACTGTAAGAAGAGCAAAGTGATCACTTCCAGCTTCTGGGAAGGTTCACCTTATTAACTATTTAATGGTTCTTGTTTCTTAACTAGAAGTATGTCAGGTTCCCTTTAGATTCAATACATAGTTGTATTGAGTTGTGGTTGTGTATGCATGTTCTCCTTTTGCTTAAGGCTGCTTTCCAGAGGTCTGTTCTTAATTGCCTGGATTTAGCAACTCAGCACCCAGTTCTTACCTTCTCGGTGTGGTGTCTCAGGCAGTGTTCTTAGTCTGGAACCTCTTCATACTTCCTCCTATTCTCACCTTTCTGTTCCTTGGCAGACTTGTGCAATTTAAGAACTTAGCTGAGGCATCATCGCTTGTGTAAGAAGCTTCCCAGACCTTCTCCTTTATCTCTAGGCTGAATGAAGTCTTCTGCTCTGTATTCCCTGAGCATCTTGTGTATATGGATAAGGATTTTAAACTTTCATAGTGTCACAATGTACAGACATTTGTTCACATTTTAGTGACTATCATTAGAAGAGACGCACTCTGGGATAGAAACCATGTCTCAGGCATTTGCTCAGGCTCTTTTGTGTCTCTAGTGCTCAAATGCCTAGTCCACTTTTATTGATTACGACTGTCGAGCTAAGTGACAAAATGTTTACTTTTATTGCTGCTGTCCACTTTCAAGACATTATAAATCTAAGAACACTGTATATTATTTTTTCAATTGAAGAGCTAATGTATTCAATCAATAATCAGAAGACATAGTCTTTTATCTCTCTGTTGTGATGTAGCATCACAGCCAAATTGTTCCCAATCAATGATAATTTTCCATATTTTAAAAAGCTGTAATGACATATACATTTGGTATATGTTAGATTGAACATATTCAGTGTTTAAGAGTTCCATAGAATTTTGAGTGATAGTTGATTATTAGCTTTTTAAACCCATTCTGTTCTGAAAGTATAAGTTTAATTCATTGTTATCAGGCATGGCAGTAATTCATGCTGTGATCCTGCTAGTGTTATATTTTTTCATTAAGGCTTTAATCACCTCAGATATTTAATTAAAGCCATGTTTTCAAGTATATGGCATAATGATCTTAAATATTGACTATGTACTCGCAGGGATAGTCAACATAAAAATATAAATCCAGAAAGACTTATTTCGTGCAGTTTCAGCATGATTATAATTTTTCAAAGTGATTTTTATGTTTGGAGAATGATTTTTGTTTGACTCTTAATATTCTGTTTTAAAAAAGAAAGCCTTTAAGATAAAATCTAACAACTTTCCTTGGTAACTGCTTTAAGAACAACGTTTCAAAATGTATTAGTTCAGTTCAGTTTAGTAGCTCAGTGGTGTCCACTGCTTGCGACCCCCTCAGACTGCAGCACGCTAGGCTTCCCTCTCCATCACCAACTCCCGAAGCCCCCTCGGACTGCAGCACGCTAGGCTTCCCTCTCCATCACCAACTCCCAAAGCTTGCTCAAACTTATGTCCATCAAGTTGGTGATGCCATCTAACCATCTCATCCTCTGTTGTCCCCTTCTCCTGCCTTCAATCTTTCCCAGCATCAGGGTCTTTTCAGATGAGCCATTTCTTCCCATCAGGTGCCCAAAGTATTGGATCTTCAGCTTCAACATCAGTCCTTCCATTGAATAGTCAGGACTAATTTCCTTTAGGGTTGACTGGCTGGATCTCCTTGCAGTCCAAGGGATTCTCAAGAGTTTTCTCCAACACCACAGTTCAAAAACATCAGTTCTTTGGCACTCAGCTTTCTTTATAGTCCAACTCTCACATTCATACACGACTACTGGAAAAAAATGTAACTTTGACCCCGTAGACGTTTATTGGCAAAATAATGTCTCTGCTTTTTAGTATGCTGTCTAGGTTGGTCATAGCTTTTCTTCCAAGGAGCAAGCATCTTTTAATTTCATGGCTGCAGTCACCATCTGCAGTGATTTTGGAGCCCCCAAAAATAAAGTCTGACACTCTTTCCACTGTTTCCCCATCTATTTGCCATGAAGTGATAGGACCAGATGTCATGATCTTAGCTTTCTGAATGTTGAGTTTTAAGCTGACTTTTTCACTCTCCTCTTTCACTTTCATCAAGAGGCTCTTTAGTTCTTCTTCACTTTCTGCCTTAAGGATGGTGTCATCTGCATATCTGAGATTATTGATATTTCTCCCAACAATCTTGATTCCAGCTTGTGCTTCTTCCAGCCTGGCATTTCACATGACGTATTTGCATATAAATTAAATAAGCAGGATGACAATGTACGGCCTTGATGTGCTGCTTTCCGGATTTGGAACCAGTCTGTTTTTCTATGTCCAGTTCTAGCTGTTGCTTCTTGACCTGTATACAGATTTCTCAAGAGGCAGGTCAGGTGGTCTGGTTTTCCCATCTCTTTTAAGAATTTTCCAGTTTGTTGTGACCCACAAAGGCTTTAGTGTAGTCAGTGAAGGGGAAGTAGATGTTTTTCTGAAATTCTCTTGCTTTTCCCGTGATCCGTCAGATGTTGGCCATTTAGCCTCTGGTTCCTCTGCCTCTTCTAAATCCAGCTTGACCATCTGGAAGTTCTCGGTTCACATACTGTTGAAGCCTGGCGTGGCATACGTCCTGTTGGAGGAGGTTGCCGTTAGCTCCATTTAGTCACCGAGCAGACGACCCGCAAACTGGAGAACAGTTACACCAGAGAAGTTCTCACACTGTTGTAAAAGTTCTCGGGCCCACAGCAGATTTCCCGACTTAGGGATCTGGCAAAAAGCCTGAGAACCCTTGGGGAATTTGACTGTGAAGACCAGTGTGATTTGATTACAGCACTTGCACAGGACTGGGGAAACAGACGCTTGGGTGGCACACACAAAACCTTGTGTGCACCAGAGCCCAGGAGAAAGGAACAGTGACCACACAAGAGACTGAGCCAGACTTGCCTGTGAGTGTGCAGCAGTCTCTGGCAGAGGCGTGGGTCGACAGTGGCCTGCTGCAGGGTCAGGGGCACTGACTGCAGCAGTCTCGGGAGCTGTGGTGTGCTGGCCTAAGTCCTTATGAAGGAGGGAGCCATTACCCCTACCATAGTGTGGCCTGAGGCCAAACTACCACGGCCCCACCTGTCAGCAGAAAGCTGGATTACAGGTGTACAGAATAAAGAGAACCAACAGAAAATGGGGATTTGTCCGCAAAAGTAATTGTTTTTGTTATGGTGATGTTTGAAGCACTGTAGATCTTGGAATAAATTATTCAAGAGCAATTGAATTAATGTTAATATTATGGTCTAATTCATTATATATTTAGAAACTTGAATTATCCAAAATATTATTTGTGCTATATCATCCATATTTTTGGATAGTCATTTATTATGTTTTGTTTAGGAAATTATTTTGTACTTTAATCTTATACTTTGATATTCGGAAGTTATGAATTCTTCAGACAAAGTAGTAAAATTATACTCTTCACATCTCAAAGCTTCTTTAAGAAGTGAAAATATTCTTCAGTTAGTGATACAGGTAAAACTTTCACGTGGATAGAAGTACCTAGACCTCACATATTCCTCAGCTCCGTAAATTCATATTCTGGCATATCCACTGACCCCATCTCTGGCTGACCGGGAATGGGGTATGAGAAGGCTGCTAGCTGACTGACCACTGACTCAAGTGTAGACTTACTTTTGTGTATTCCTCATGGTGGATATAGGGACGGTTGAAGCATTTAGGAAGGACTGAGGCTCCTGGATAACTAAGGAAATTGACATGAAGAGTTAATTTCACTCACAAAATCCACAGTCCTCACCATGGCCTGCAAGGCCCACACATCTGGCTTCTGATGTGTTTCTCACCTCCTGTCTTTCTTCCCTGCGCTGCCCTGACTGGGTTTTGCCACACTGGCTTCCTTGCTGATTCTGGAACATTGCTGTGTCAGCACCTCCCGACACACGCACCATGCCCACTGCCTTCGTGTCTTGGCCCCAGCTGTGCTCTTTCCTTCCTTCAAGACCTTGCTCAGACCTTACCTCCTTTCTCGGTGCGTCCTGCCCTGATCACCCTGTTTCAGCTTCTTTCCACCTCCACCCCCGCTCCTGCTCCCCTTTATCCCTCTCTATTTTTTCTGTAGTACTTAATCACCTCTAATATAGGGTATAACCTGTAATTTACTTATTTCTTATATTTATTGTTTGTCTCCTGCAACTAAAGTATAAGTTTAGTAAGGGGAGAGTTTATCGTTTTTTGTTTTTCATTGTTGCTGTGGTTATTTTAAATAAGCAGCTGTCTCTGTACCTAGAACACTGGTGTATGGTATACAGAAAATGTTTAGTAATTATTTGTTTAATAAAGTCCAGCTCCAAGAAAGCCAGGCTTAGGTAGATGGAAAGCACCCTTCTTGCCATCTAAGTTCTGTTTTTTTAACCCTTCTTGGAATGACTGCCAGTGAAGAATGACTGTACTTGGCAGAAACCCTGACTCCACTCCATGGGAATGTGGCCCAGTTTTACTGTGACTTTTCTCTCTCTATTCCCAAGTGTGTGGTGTTAATAAGTGGTCTCACCACTTGCTATACTAAGCAGTCGTTAAGCCTGGAACAGAAATGGGCTTTAGTGCTGGACTGAGTCCCCAGGATACTAGGAACTGTGTGGTAGGTTTGTTCCTTTATAACCTGTCCCAGGTTTAAGAAGTTCCTAAAAGTTAGGTGAATTAGGTTCTGGTTCTGACTGTAACCAATTCATTGTCTTAGCTTATGACTCTAGGCTGATGTTTCTTCAGTTGTAAAATTGAACTGGATTGTGTTTTTTCCCTTACTCTGTGAAGTTTAGCTATATCACAGAAGCATTTTAAGTTTTCTAATTGAGGAACCCTCTTTTAAAATACATTAGCTCTTAGGTTAATAATCATGTTACTGTACTATAAGATTTGTATTTGGTAAGGTGCTACATATATAAAAACAACTGAGTGTACTAGTAGTGTATAGAACCTAAACTAATTGTTTTCTTATATAATTTCACTGGAAAAAACAAACTTTTGCTAATCATTAGAATTCAGTTAACTAGAAAATTGAGTCTTTAGATGTGATAAATAACTCATGTTCTAGAATCCATCTCTCTCTCCCCCTTTCTCTCTTCTTCCCTTTATTTCTTCTCTATCCTTCAGGTTATCTACTGTACAGTTTCTGTTTTTTTGTGCTTAGAGAACAAAAGGATGGCACTTCACAGGTATTTTTCAAGAATTTTGCTTTTTGAATATATATTTTGTTCATCATTGTACCCCTTAGCATTCAGCATATTGACTTGTACATAGTAGTTGCTTCTTAAATACTGCTTGGATGAATGTATTTGCCTTTATTCCCCCCCCCCCAATATTTAATTCACTCAGAAGGTGATTTTTTTTAATTTTTATTATTTTAAGAAAGGTGACTCTTGTGATGTTGGGACTTGATAATGCTGGTAAAACGGCGACAGCGAAGGGAATCCAAGGAGGTAAGCTGAAAAAAATTATTATTACATTATTCTGATTTATTTATTTAAATTGTTTTATTACATATTCGTTGGGTAGAGATATTGTGTACTCTATTAGTTTATATTCTTAGTGTACTTGTGTCTAATATGATGAATAGACTCTGGCTTAATAGTACCAGCCTGTTCTGTTTCAGATTTGAATGAATGCAAAGATATGGAGGCTCCTTGAGGTCTTTGGTCAGCTAGGAGGAATCATAGCTGTCTTCTAGCTAGTGGGAATGAAAAAGTGTAAAAAGGACATGCCCCTGCTATTAAGGATGCACATTGTCTACATTCTTTTGGCCAGAATTTAGTTAAAGAGCTACAACTCAGTGAAAGAGAGGTAGAATACGGATAGCCAGGATAGCTCTCTTTGTATCTCTTGATCTTTTTTTTCCAATATGATGTATAATTTTTACAATTATGTTAAAGATACATTGAAGGGTTTTATGTCCTTTATGTTACATCTCATTGGATGTATTTATTTAGTGTTAATTTAATGCTTTGTAACTATAATATAGAAGTTGCTGTACCTAGTGAGTTTGTTGTGTACCCAGAAGATGTAGCATGAGCCATGCATCTTAAAGGTATGAATTGGGAAAAAACCTAACATATATTTGTTCCTGAAAATAAATATTGCAACAAGATATCATACATGACAAATAGGGAACTTTTACTTGGAGAAGTTTATGAAAGAAAATTGACACCTTGCAAAACTTGTTGGAGAAAAATGTTTTGTCACCCCCAATTCTGTTTTATAATGTTAGATACAAACTGTATGTTGATTTCTTTTTTTTTGGTGCGTATTTTGTGACATGTGGGATTTTAGTTCCCCAACCAGGGATTGAACCTGTCCTCCCTACATTGAAAGTACAGGATCTTGAACGCTGGACCACCAGGGAAGTCCATCAAACTATATATTATTGTTTGAAGCAGTCTTCTAAGGCTTTTTGTACCCCCTCATGCTGTCACTGAGGTTATATCCTCGAAGAACTGTCACCGTCTAAATCAGGGGCACTCAATATGTCAGCAAATTTGGAAAACTCAGCAGTGGCCACAGGACTGGAAAAGGTCAGTTTTCATTCCAATCCCNTTGAAATTATTTTAAAATGTAAAGCATGTTCTTAGCTTGAGGGCCATGTAAAAACAGGTGGCTATGCAGATTTGGCCTGCAGTCCATGAAGGCTTATCCACACATCCTCTCTTTTATTCCTTTAAAACCTTAGGTTCAACGGTACAGGATCTAGGAACTTGCTAAGAAACCCATCTCATTATTTGGATGTACTTAGAATATCCTCTTTCCATCATGGCTTTTTCTTCTAAATCCCACCTCCATGTATCTATCAGTGTCATTTTCTGAGTTTAGAAAATTTCAAGGTGTCATGTCATGAACAAAAAAGTCAAAGCTGCCTTCAACTTTGAGCTGCCTTCTGACTTTGTTTTTGTTCTTCATTTTTACTCCAGTGACTAATTTCTTACCTTTTTTTTTTTCTTTTCTAAAGAAACCAGTTATATAGAACTACTTGGGAGTTTTCTTAGCATATAGGTTTGATTGAACCTTTTGATGCCTTTGTTTTTTGCTTATACTGTTCCCATTTGCCTTATTAAAGAGAAATAAACTTTTCCTTAAAGACAGAGTATCTACTTATCTCTGAAGACACTTGTTTGTCATGTAGTTTTCTTTATGAAGTCCCTTCTGGTCTCCTCCTGCCCTCACCCCTTATGACCGCCATGAACACAATTGACTACTACTGTGTTTGTCTACTCCTGTTTGTTCATAATAGGTGTATCGGTGCTTAACTGCCCCTCAATTTATATCTCTCTGCCTCTCCTACTGTAAATCCCAGAGGCAGTTTTACTTGTTTCGGTATCCCATTTGAGTCATGCCTTAGGGTCTAGTAAGCCGTTTTTGTAAAACATTTCTCCCATGGCTTCTACTCTTTAGCTTATTTCTGGCTCTTCTCTTTTTTTTTTTTAATTAAATGCAAATTTTATTGTATATTTCCTCCTTTCTTTTGAGATAATTTTCCTCTCTTACTGTATTGTGATCAGCTAAGTCCAAACCCTAGTGTTTCGCCTATGATTTTATTACAGTTTCCTAATCTAAAAGTACTTTCCCTATCTTCATTTCATTCATTCATCTTTTCTTCTTCATGGCTGTCAAAGCGATTGCATTAATAGGATATAGGTTCGATTGTACTAACAAGCCTAAAATAACAGTGGCTTAACAAGCTAGAAGTTTATTTCTCTCTTATGTAACAGCACAGGCAGAAGTAGTCTAGGGTTGGCAGAGCAGCTGTATGGCATTAGGGACTCAAGCTCCTTTTCATAGTTGCTTTGCCATTCCTAGTATTTTCCCTTGCCACCTGCTCCAGGGTGACTCAATACTACATGTGTACTACAGCCAGAAGGAAGAAGTAAAGGATAAAGGGAGACTCTCCTCCTTTTTTTTCCCTAAAGTGTGTGAACCAGAAGCCACCATAGTTCACAGGCTGTTGGCTAGAACCTGTGGTATTCCAGAGCTGGCTCCTACTTACTTATATTGGCTCATATAATCAGGGAAAGCCAATTAGGTTCCTCTTCGCCCAACTTTATGGGCAGGTGCCTCATATTGGTAATTTCAAATTGGCCATAGTGGTAGTGTTTACAGCATGAAAGTCGACAAACACTACATATCAGAGTTCCATGGCCTCCAAAGCCAATTAGACATTTATCAGTGATAGCTTATGGTGAATGGTGTCAGATTCTTGATCTCCGAAGAAGATTTAGCTTTGGGCTTGATCACTCAAGAGCTTTTCTGTTGCAGAGTTTTATTAAAGTGTGAAAAAGGGACAGAGAAACCTTCTGACATAGACATCAGAAGGGGTCGGAGAGTGCCCCCCTCACTAGTCTTTAGCAAGGGAATTATATACTTTTTAATTAATTATTACAATAAATCAAAATAATGTCTCAAGGTTGTAAAATTTTACCAGACCCACTCCCACAAGTTGCATTTTAGGATAATAGGATTAGAATTTAATAATAGAAGGAACCTACCAGACCCACTCCCATAATATACATTCTAAGATATCAGTAGTAACTAGTAACTAGTAATGCTGAAGAAGCTGAAGTTGAACGGTTCTATGAAGACCTACAAGACCTCTTAGAACTAACACCCAAAAAAGATGTCCTTCTCATTATTGGGGACTGGAATGCGAAAGTAGGAAGTCTGGAAACACCTGGAGTAACAGGCAAATTTGGCCTTGGAGTACAGAATGAAGCAGGGCAGAGGCTAATAGAGTTCTGCCAAGAGAACGCATTGGTCATAGCAAACACTGTCTTCCAACAACACAAGAGAAGACTCTACACATGGACATCACCAGATGGTCAACACTGAAATCAGATTGATTATATTCTTTGCAGCNATGCAAAGTACTCCTGTCCATAGAAATGCAAATTAATTGCATCTGGTGGAATGCAACTGAATATTACTCCATGGATAGGCCTAGTTTCATCTTTTTGCAAACCATTTCAGTGTGTACATACATTCTTTGAATTCCCTGAATCAGTTATAACATCTTAACATCTTGCTGATTCCCTCATGAATTAATGACTTAAATTCAATCATTCAATCTTTGGCACATGTTCATTTTATATCTATATGAGAGTCATGACTACAGTTTCTCTTAAAAACAATCCTTTAACAACAATATCAACCATTTCATTGAATTCAGTGACTATCTATAACTACAGGCACCTCACCTACAATCTTGTGAATTCTAGAATTCAAAGGCCTTGTTTATTTACCTCTGTAACCTCAGATTCTAACACGGTGCTTATCTTGGGTGTTTAATAAATCTTTGATGGGTAAATAAAGACAGAAGATAGAGATATTGTCATGCAGAAAAGGAGGCAAAGGGTTTTCCAAGCAGATGGAATGAATAACAAAAGACCCGAAAACATGAAATTGTGCTAGAATATAAAGGGCTATGGCAGATAATGAGAAAGACAGATTCTAGCTCATAAAGGTCTTCAATAACCAAAATTCCTCTTTCTGCCACAAAGAGGTTGGAGTTGAAGGACAGACGCCCAGAGACAGGTAAACCAAACAAATACCTATTGCAGTAAATCCAGTGAGAGACCTTATATTCCAGGGCAGGAACCCTGTCATCATGACTGAGTTATCTGTTTTTATAGCATCATAGATCCTCTTGTATGTTTTGTCTCCAGGAATGGAGTAATTTGGGTAAGAATTCCTGGTTCCATGGTTGTGTCACTATCCTTCTATATCTCTGGATGGAAGCTTATCTCTTACACTTGCTTATCTTGTTACAGGTAGATTTTCTTCTTTATCTCTGCTAGATTATTTGTTGTGGCCTTACACTTTGGACCCCTATGGAGTTTAGCAATTACATGGTTGCTCACATGCTACCTATCACTTAGTTTTCTGATTATCTTGTTCTACCTACACAGCTAAAGGTTTTCAGCATTGGCCCCATCTCTATTCAACTTGAGGACAGACTTCAGACCCTTCCATGCAGTTTAGTTCTGGATTGTATGTTAAAGGATCCAACAAGGTCCATATTTAAAGAACTCTCATCACTTTTCAAAATGTGATTAACAGTGTTGCAACCAAGTTAATGATCAGGATGCTGCATGATTCAAATGAAATAACTATCAAGGTTCTGGTACTGAGTAGGTATTCTGAATATGTTATTTCTCTTATTTCTTCCTCAGGACAGTTGACTTATTTTCGCTGATAATTTCGAGGAGGGGGGTACCTTTCAATTTGTACTTTAAGACAGCTGTCTGTGTTAACTGTGAAAGAAATTCTGGTCTGGACTAGATCCACATTTTTAAATGTCTAGTGTAATTCTGTTTTTGGAATATATGTCTGCTTATATTGTTTCTAAACTTGTTTTTTCCTCCCTCTAGATAAGGCAGGTCTTTTAAAAATTTGACTTGTGATTGTCTTTATTAACTTTCTAGGGAGCTGTCTAAGCTGTAGTAAGATGCTTGTTGAGAGGCAGTGGTACATTGCAAGTCTGTTTCTCAGTCATACCTAAGCCTAGAAGTAAATGCCTATGAGATTTATTTTTGTAGTAGCAAGTGTTTTGCTGAATGTGGGAATGATAATACCCTCTGAACCAGTGTTGTTGAGTGGAGCTGTTTGCAGTGATGGACATGTTCTGCGTTGGCTCCGTTCAGTAGGGTGGGCCACCAGTCACGTGTGACTCTTGAGTACTTTAAATGAAGCTAGTACAGCTAAGGAGCTGAGCTTTTTATCTAAGTTTGATTTCACTTTGAGATCCTCATGTAGATGGTGGTCACTGTATTGACTTTATAAACAAAGTTCAGGGGAGTAATATTTGTTGTGAATTCCATGATGATGTGGAGAAGGAAATGGCAACCCACTCCAGTATTTTTGCCTGAGACATCTCGTGGACAGTGGAGCCTGGCGAGCTGTAGTCCCTGGGGTCACGAAGAGTTGGGTACAACTTAGCAACTAAACAGTAACAACCACAGTAGTGAGTGCATGGAGGAGTCAGATATGAAGTCTGAACTCTTCTCTGTAACCGTTGGGTCACTTGTTGCATCGTTCATCGCTTATGCCTTCTCTCTTGCTGTGCTTCTGTTTTTGTTTTGTTTTCTTACCTCTCTAAAAAGCGACTTTCACTCTCATTTTCAGTCAGTTCTAGAGACTTTTGCAAATATGAATCTCAATAAAGGACTGCTTTAGTCATCTCATGGCTTAGAGGGTAAACAGTCTGCTGCAGTGCGGGAAACCCAGGTTCCATCCCTGGGTCGGGAAGATCCCCTGGAGAAGCAAATGGCAATCCACTCTAGTACTCTTGCCTGGAAAATCCCATGGACAGAGGAGTCTGGTAGGCTACAGTCCATGGGCTCGCAAAGAGTCAGACATGACTGAGTGACTTCTGTTTCCTTTTTCCTTTTTAGTCATCTCAATTATATTATTGCTCTGCTGAAATGCCTTCCGTGGCTCCCAGTTCTCTGTCTTCAGAACACTCTTCAGTGTACATTCACTATTAAAAATCTGCTCCAACTACAATGTTCAACTTGTTTGTACGTCTTGCTTTTTCCATTTCTGTTACTTAGATCACTGATCTGACTGTTTAAATTCAACCTCACTTTAAGGTCTAGGTTTCAGTTCCTAGTTCAAGGCTTGAACCTCAGTGATCTTTTTAATCTCTTATTGTCATTACCATTCTTTGGCAGTTATAATTGTATATATCCTGTACTTCTTAGTGCTGTCATATGCAGACGTACAAAGCAATTCAGTTATAGTTCATGAAAATATCCTGTATTAAAAATAAAATCTACTCTTTACATTTACAAGCTGTCCTTGAAAGTGTCTTTATTCCAATTATAGCTTTTATTCAAATTAAAAAGGAATGGTCCCATACTCTTTGTTGTCAGTTGCTAAGTTGTGTCTTAACTCTTTGTGACCCCATCAGCTGCAGCATGCCAGGCTTCCCCGTCCTTCACTATCTCCCACAGTTTGCTCAAACCCATGTCCATTGAGTCGGTGATGCCGTCCAACCATCTTGTCCTCTGTTGCCTCTTCTCCTCCTGCCCTCAGTCTTCTCTAGTATCAGGGTGCTTTCCCTCAGTTGGCTCTTTGCATCAGGTGGCCAGAGTATTGGAGCTTCTGCTTTAGCATCAGTCCTCGCAATGAATGTTCAGGATTGATTTCCTTTTGGATGGACTAGTCTGATCTCCTTGCAGTCCAAGGGACTCTCAAGAGTCTTCTCCAACATCACAGTTCCAAAGCATCAGTTCTTTGGTGCTCAGCTTTCTTTATGGTCCAACTCTCGCCTCCATACATGACCGCTGTAAAAATCATAGCTTTGACTATATGGACCTTTGTGGTCAAAATGATGTCTGCTTTTTAATATGATGTCTAAGTTTGCATGGACAGAGAAGCCTGGTGAGTTACAGTCCATTGGATCGCAAAGAGTCAGACATGACTGAGGTGACTTAACACATAAACACTAGGTTTGTCGTAACTTTCCTTCCAAGGAGCAAGCATCTTACTTTCGTGGCTGCAGTCAGCGTCTGCAGTGATTTTGGAGCCCAAGAAAATAAAGTTTGTCACTGTTTCCGTTGTTTTCCCATCTATTTGCCATAAAGTGATGGGACCAGATGCCATGACTTTAGTTTTTCGAATGTTGAGTTGTCCAACTCTCGCCTCCATACATGACCACTGTAAAAATCATAGCTTTGACTATATGGACCTTTGTGGTCAAAGTGATGTCTGCTTTTTAATATGATGTCTAAGTTTGCATGGACAGAGAAGCCTGGTGAGTTACAGTCCATTGGATTGCAAAGAGTCAGACATGACTGAAGTGACTTAACACATAAACACTAGGTTTGTCGTAACTTTCCTTCCAAGGAGCAAGCATCTTAATTTCGTGGCTGCAGTCAGCGTCTGCAGTGATTTTGGAGCCCAAGAAAATAAAGTTTGTCACTGTTTCCGTTGTTTTCCCATCTATTTGCCATAAAGTGATGGGACCAGATGCCATGACTTTAGTTTTTCGAATGTTGAGTTTCAAGCCAGCTTTTTCATGCTCCTCTCACTTTCATCCAGAGGCTTTCTGGTTCGTCTTTGCTTTCTGCCATGCTCATCATAGCTTCTCCCGTTGTTTAGTTGTTTTAAACTATTCTCTAAATGTTTAGTTTTTCTTTATAACTCTACCTGGGTTGTAATGGTCCCTGGGGATGGCTGTGGTGTTGAAAGTTGAAATATTTATTGTTTGTAATTTGGAGAATCTGTAGCCTTAAAGCAAAGGTTCATTTATTTATTCTACAAATACTTATTAAGTACCTGTTATATTGTAGGCATTATTTTAGGACCTGGGGTTATAGCAATAAAATCAACAAGCAAACAAAAAGCCCTGTCTGCAAGAGTGTAAATTCTAGTTTGATATTTTATAGTATCTATCTTTCCTCCAAACCAGTTTGCTTAGATGTAATGCTTATTATGTAAACAAATAATAAACATTCTATTTAGTACTAATATATGATGAATAATACACTTATGCCATTTAAGTTGTGAAGTTAAATTAGCATTACTAATTTGAAGTCTAAAGATTCTTTTTCATTTGATTATTTCATTTGAAACAGAGTATCCTGAAGATGTAGCTCCTACTGTTGGGTTTTCCAAAATTGACCTTAGACAAGGAAAGTTTGAAGTCACCATCTTTGACTTGGGAGGTGGAAAAAGAATTCGAGGAATCTGGAAGAATTACTATGCTGAGTCCTATGGGGTAATATTTGTTGTGGATTCAAGTGATGAAGAAAGAATGGAGGAAACAAAAGAGACAATGTCAGAAGTGCTGAGACACCCTCGGATATCCGGAAAGCCTGTATTGGTGTAAGTAATGTTGGTGCTGGGATTCCTTGGTGGCTCAGACAGTAAAGGATCCACCTGCAGTTGTGGGAAACCCGGGTTTGATCCCTTCGTTGGGAAGATCTCCTGGAGGAGGGCATGGCAGTCCACTCCAGTATTCTTGCCTGGAGAATCCCCATGGACAGGGGAGCCTCGTGGGTCCATGTGGTTGCAAAGAGTCGACACGACTGAGTGACTAAGCTGTGCGCGATGTTGGTGTTATTGTCAACATAGAAGCAGCAGCATTAGTCATGAAGGAAATCTCCCTAAGTTACAAAACACTGAAACAGTGTTGTCACAGTCTCACATAATCAGATGTATGTGATTTACTGGGAGCTGTTAATATACCAAGGCTTTGTTATAATGCTGTCTGTAGGGATTAAGGGCAGAGGCTATGTAATGAAAAAAATCTTATAATTAGATCTCCTGGATTTTCAAGTGTAAACTCTTTGTTTTATTTGATAATTTACTCTTGTCAAATTTTGCAGATGGTCTATTAATGAGGTTCTAAAATGTTTTTCAATTTATTTTCCTCTTTTAGTAACATTTAGGTTTTGCCTCTTTTTTCCTTGAGTATTCTTGTTTGAAACTTAGGTGGTTTCTTTTTCTAATGCCACGTTGATTTCTCAGTTTTTACTTTTATATTTCCAAACTGAGCATGTGATCTGTGTCGTTATCAGCGTGTGATCTGTGTTGTTATCAACTTAGTCATAAGCTTAGCATCATTTTGTTCGGCTGCTTAAACATTTAAAAAAATTCAGTGACAAAGCCTTTTTGCACTATCTGCCCTCATAGCATTTCCAGAGAGTAAACACAAGGTGGCGCTATGACTTTGAGACAGTCAAGTGAAAAGTAGTTGAAATTGCTCTTAAAATCGGAATTAGTGGTATGTGTGCTCTTGTCTTCTGTCCTTTTCTCTTGTTCTTTTGTAATTCATAACTAATGATTGAAAAAGAAAAAAGAAAACCAAGCAACCTATCAACATGGTTAAATGGGAAAGTGTAAGCAAACTGTCCCTGTGGTCCTCAGTAATAAGTGAACATTTTTAAATGAGGCAGTCTGAAAACTCTGATTACAAAAAATAGAATGTTATTGTACCATTTATTGTTAAGCTTATACTATTTAATTTTTATACTTTTAACTAATTAGAGAAGTTATTTGATATATATAATTAATTCTTTTATTGAATCTGAAAAAAGCTTTAATAGACATGAATACAAAGAGTAAACTTTGTTGAACCCCGTAGGCTAAATTAGTCTCTACAAATGTTGAAGTAGAGAACCAGTGACTTATAAAGAGTACTAACAACTGATGTTCATTTGTAAAATAATTGAGTATGCTTTTTAACCTAGTAGTTATTTATTCTTTTTTTTCATGTATTCTTTCGTGCCTTTATTCACTCATACAAGTACTAATTCAACAAATATTTGTTAGGCATCCACTATATGCTAGGCATTGTTCTGGCATAGGGATCCATTTAGGTATAGGGATACATTTGAGAACAGCAACAATAAAACTCCACATGTGATCTCAGGAGCTTACATTCTTGGAGGTGAGGCACACAATAAATGTAATAAATAAATTGTATTGTACATTAGGTGATAAGTATGTTGAAAACAAAAGAAGTAAAAGAAGATCAGGAATCCTATAGTGGTGGTGGTGACGGGCATGTTGCTCTTAAAATAATCCTGGTAGGTCTTATTGAGAAGATGACACTGGAAATGAGAGTCAGTCATGCGTGTGTATGTGGCAACACCCTGAGGCAGCAGCATGCAATTGGTAAATGTCTGCAGTGTTTACTAGATAGTTTGATAACTGTCAGCAGGATACCTGCTTTCAGCTCTGTCACCTCTCTTAGCTAGTGAATTTGCAGAATTGGAAAAAAGGAAATAATTCACAACTAGAATGATTGCTCACCATTACAATTTCACTGTCAGTGAGATCTCACAGACATGAGCATTAATTATAGATCATATAATATGCTTATGAAACATAGAATGGTTCACCATCTAAACGGTTTTTCTTAAGGGAGTTTTACAACTGTAGAATTCTTGTTAATTAGGCTAAAGTTTTGAGATGTGTGTGCTTCAGAAATACACACAGTTTACCAGAAAGTACATAGTCTTAGTAAATTTAGAAGAGGTAAGAAAGAATGAGGATAAAAAGTGATTGGCCTATCATGCACAGCCAGCCACTGCTATCATTTGATGAATGTCCTGTGCATATTTTTGTAAAACATGTAATGTATGCAGTGTTCATATAATATATACAATTTTCTATCCCACCCTTTTTTCTGTTTATAAATCCCTCTTTAATATCCACCTAAGTCCCATATTTGAAAGTTCTCCTGTTTACCTTTTTGTCTGTGACCTACAATGTTTGTCTTACTGATGGTACTGTTTTAATATTGGAGTCTCTTTACTCCTCTCAATTCTGTTTGATGTTAACTCCTTTCAACCTTTGTTCACTTTTCCCTTGTGTTACTGATTACTCTCCAGACCAGTCTCCCTGCTAGCATCTTGCCTGTTCTCTAAGCTCTCCTCTACATTGAAGGCAGGAGCCCTTTTATTTGATATTTTTCAAATCACAGAACAGGTACATGTTTTCATAAGTGAAACAATGCAAGAATAAAGTACTTGAGAGCTCTTTTTTAAATGCAGATTTGATCATTTTACTTTTCCTGAGTCCAGGTTGCCTTCATAGCTCCTTGCAGATGGGAAAGTCTGTGTTTTAACTGATAACTCCTCTAGCATATAATAGATATGGCATTGAAAAGTAAGTGGAAAGGGTTGTAAGTGGCTAGTAAGTGGAGAGGGCCTCCAGTAGAGCCCTGCTAAAGTCCATGCTCTGGGCTCGTGGGTATGGAGATGGAGGAAAGGCTACCGAAATTAAGAGGCTGGCTACAGTGCTCCTTGTTGCCCACAGCTGCCTCCTTCCTGCCCATGGGCGTCTGGACTTCTTAGCTGAAAAATCCAGTTACGGCATCTAATTTCTTGTGCTTGCCACTTTTCTGAGCCTCAACTAGTGGATTTAGGACCTGCAAAGCCTCTGAGAACTCAGTTCAACCACTTGATAATTTTTTCTTCCCATCCTCTATTAATGAGCAGAGAACAGCAGACCTCTAAGAAGAGTCAGTCCTTCCACAGAAGGAAATAAACCAGAAGAATTATCTTATCAGGAAAAACAAAATCACAGATTGGCAGAGCAGGATTCATTCATGCTAGGAGAAGCAGAGTAGATGACGATGACAGCAGGTCCTGGACACTTCTCCAGCTCTGCCTGACTTGATTCTGCATCCTGGTCTGACAGCGTGAGTTGTTGCACATAAAGTCTCAGTCACATTTCATTTTATGTCACAGACTTGAGGGTTCTCTGGAAAGTTCAGATTCATAGATCCCTAGGCTTCTGTACTTTATTAGGTTGGAAATTTTGTTTGGCAGTTATATAGTATTTACTTCTTAATCAGCATAATATTCTAGTCAAATCTCTGAAATAAGTGGTGAAAAGTGAAAAAAACATGGGTGTAGAGAGAAGATGGAGAGTCTAGAACCTGGATTCTAGGAGCTATTGTGAATTTGTTTATGACCCTGGCAAGTCACCTCACTTCTTTGGACTTAATGGGTAAATGCTGTGCTGTGCCTAGTCACTCTGTTCTATCTGACGCTTTGTGACCTCATAGACTGCAGCCCACCAGGCTCCTCTCTGCATGAAGATTCTCCAGGCAAGAATACTGTAGTGGGTTCCCATGCCCTCCTCCAGGGAATCTTAACCCAGGAATCAAACCCAGGTCTCTTGCACTGCAGGTGGATTCTTGACCAGCTGAGCTACCAGGGAAGCTCTAATGGTTAAATACCTCTTCTTTAATAAAAGTATCTGTAAAATAGTGTATTCAGCTGTATATTATAATGTGAACCGTAGTATAGTCTATGCCAAAAATCCATTTCGGTACAAAGGTAGAAGTGATTTGTATTTCTTCTAAAGAAATTAAAAACAGATATGATGTAAATATCTGCTCTGAGATATTAAATGTTATCATGTTAAGCTGTGTATTTACTTAGAATAGAAAGCCTCTTTTCTCTCATATCTACTATTATAGAGATTAATTTGAACCTATACTCTGATTGGGTTTCCTTTGTGGTTCATCAGTAAAAAATCTGCCTGCCAATGCAGGAGACGTGAGTTCGATCCCTGGGTTGGGAAGATCCCTCAGAAAAGCAAATGGCAACCCATGACAGTATTCTTGACTAAGAAATCCCATAGACAGAGAAGCCTGGGGAGCTACAGTCCATGGGGTCGCAAAGAGTCAGACACAACTTAGGGACTAAACGAAAACAATGTACTCAAATTAACTAAGGTTTGAAATATATTATCTGCCCTCAGAGTCCCCTCCACATACACATGCTTGCTTTAACCATTTATAACTTATTTTATTAAAAGCCCTAATACTACATAGTCAGATAAAGGCCTTTCCAAGAGAAAAAGTAAACAACTTAAGCAGTTGTATAAATAGCACTGAAATCAGCAGTAATTTCAAAATTTAAGCTCAACATCCACCATAGAAGTTTTCTGTCAATAAAACAAGGCACTGTTTGTTGATTCCTTGCGACTGAGCTGGTAGGTATTTTAAACATTTTAAGTTGAAATTTTCAGCAACCCAAGGTTACACTAATGTTATAAGAAGATGCATATTCTTTGTGTATTTCTTCTTTCTAATATAGTCTTAAATGTTGCCCTTAGAGTGAATGTAAATTACCCTTCACTGGTTGAATCTCCTAATACTGCCAACTGAAATGACTTTGGAGATCCAAGGCTAAAATTTCCTCCCAGAATAACAACAGTTCTTACTGGCGTTCTCACACTTGAACTCTTGGAATGGTGCCACTTTCTCCTTATGTACTGTCTGCTTTTCTGTGGAGTTATATGGCCTAACTTAACTTTTAGTCAAACCTCATAAATTAGATACTTCACAACAAAAGTGTTAAATG